ACTCACTCACTCACTCACTCACTCACTCACTCACTCACTCACTCACTCACTCACTCACTCACTCACCCATTGACCCGTCCATAACATACCCGACATGCCAACTAAGAGGTATTTTTTTTACAAAAAAAACTCAATAAATTACTTTGATTCATTTGGAATGCTGCCATTTCAAGAGCTTGTAAATCATGCCAAGAGAAAAAACCTGACTTTATTACATCAAAATAATCAAATACAAAATCTTCTGACAACAACTTGTGGCTATTTTTGTTTGTACTTTCTGAACGAAATGAATAAGGGGAAATCATATTTGGATTTGTTAAAAGTGTTTGACTTACACAATACAATGAAGAATGAAAACTTCACTGAGAGATATTTCAAAAATATTATATAATATATATTATATATGAAATCTTATTGCGTGAAACAAAAAAAGCAAACAGAATGTGTTTCAGGTAGTGAAAAATACATGAAGGCTAAAAGACTAATGTTAAAATGTAACTGTGCAGAATGTGGAATAACCAAAACCAAATTTGTGAAAAATCAAAAAGGTGGTGAAGCTTCTGCATGGACTGGTCAGTAGAAGAAGCCAATTGATTTAATAGAAAAAGGTACTTTAGCTGTTGTTAAAGAACCTGGAGCTAAAGAATCATTTGATGATTTTTGGAGTAGAAAAACATTTATTAGAGCTTGGGATAATATAACCGGTAATCATCCAGATCCAAATAAAGATGTTGCGTATAATGCACCAAGTACTGGAGATAATTATGTAGCACCAAAGAAACCGAAGGGTTGCAAGGTAATAACCACTTCTTATGATGGAAAAGGAAGAACTGTATCATATGGTTGTTCAAGATAAATAATATAATTAATATATATGAAGTCTTATTGTGTAAAACAGAAAAAGCAAACTGAATGTGTTTCAGGAAGTGAGAAATATGTTACAGCCAAGAATGGACAATTGATGATGAAATGTCAATGTGCTGAATGTGGAATAACCAAGACAAAATTCGTGAAAAATAATCAAACTGGAGGAGCTCGAGCAAGATATCATGGGCCTTCTGCCATTGACAAAGCAGCTTATGTGATGTCCAATTTTGTTACACCAGCTCCTAGTATTGCAGCTCTTGGTAAAGTTTTGGCTGGACAAGCTGTTAAAGGTGTGAAAGACAATATTGATTATTACAGAGGTGGTAATTTAAACTAATTCAGCCCTCACATGATGGGGGCAATATATTTCAACCAATGGACTTGGGTTACAAACTTGCAAAACTGACTGAAAAAGCTGAAAAAAGATCGAGAGGAAAAGGATTTACGAAAAAGGAATGGGATAAATATTATCCAGATTATCCAAAAGGTTATAAAACTGTAAAGACCAGAAAAGAATTCGACAAACATTTTCCAGGTTATTTAGAATCATTGGCAAAAAGTTCTTATGAGGAAGATATTAAAAAGAAAAAGAAAAGAAACGTCACTCTATCAAATGCTGCTAAAAAATATATCAAAGATCAATACAGGGACTTTTCGAACGATCATATAAATGAAGGCATAAAAATTGGTGATTATGAATACAAACCAAAAAGCGGATCAGGTATATATTGAGTTCTGTTGGAGATACAGCTGCTGAATTTTTTATCAGCAAAGGAATTCCTTATTTAGCCAAGAAAGGTACAGAAGCTGGAAGATATTATGTTTCTGAATTCATGAGAGATCCAAAATTACAAAAGAAAGCAATTGATTGGGGAATAAAGAAAGCAACACCAGTTATTCAAAAAGTTGGATCTGAAGCAATTAATCAATTATCAACCAAAGTGAGACCAAATTATAAGTATGAAACTGACAGAATGGATCTTGATGCTCATATGTACAAAGGTGGTGCAATTGACATCCACAAAGCTATTGGTAAAATACCAAAACCAAAGGCTGGATGGACATCAGGAAAGTACAAATATATGGGACCACATAATCCATTGGATAAACAACTGGAATATGTTAAAAATACGGGTCGTGTACAACCATATAACAAAGTGGATGAAACAGCAGCCCATCATGATATTTGTTACAACATGGGTAAAAACAAAGGAGATTGTGATTGACAAATGATTAAGTCGTTGGATGAAATTCAATATGGTGAAATGCCAAAATGGGGATCAACAGCAAGATTCTTGATTGATAAAAAACAAAAACTAGGTCTTGGGGTATCAAAAAATGGAAAAAGCCATTGAGTGAAGTAAACTGACAAGAAAAATTAACAGATGAGTTACATAAACCGATAAAACATAACTTTGCTGGACGGCATGTAATAGTCAATCGCATTGATGAAATATTGTATTCTGATTTAGTTGAAATGCAACAGTTTAGCAAAAGGAATAAAGGCTATAGATATTTTCTCATGGTTTTAGACATGTTTAGTAAATACGATTGGATTGTTCCATTAAAGGATAAAAAAGGTGAAACTGTAACTGAAGCATTCAAAGCCATTTTCAGAGAAGGAAGAAAACCACAATATTTATGGACTGATAAGGGTTAGGAATTCTATAACAAACACTTGAAAGATCTGTTAGAGAAAAATGGTATACAGATGTATTCCACTGAAAATGAAGAAAAATCATCTGTTTGTGAAAGAT